GTCTAGATCAACAGAATCCAATGCAAGAGGATATAAAACTGAAGATGTCTGAGTTAAGGTTAGATGTGGCTGTCTTTAATCAATAGCTCTGAGACTGAGCTCCTATTTCCCACTGAATATGTCAATTAATTCCAGAAGTAATTCTCCCTTGATCCAGTGCTGGGAGTGAGCGACTCTAACACAGAAGTGTTCTATTTAGCTTTGTTCCCAATGATTTCCCCAAAGAGGCTGAGAAGAAGCAAGACCCTGGGCTAGGAGAGACATCATGCAGGTTTTGAGGTTCCCAGGCTAGCCCACTAAGGCTTGTGGACCTCATGAGAGACTGGAAGAAGCAATGCAATTACTATCACTGTTGCTGTCAAAGGCTCAGGAAAGCGCCGTGGAATAAGAAATGTCTTTTAATTTGTCTGGTGCTGCTTGAGGGAAAAGGGGCTCAATTACTAGCCGGTGAGAAGGTCAGCATAGGCTTTTGTGAGGTCCTGAAGGGACCTCAGGGGCTTCTAGGCTACGGCGCTGTCTTTATTCCGTCTCATTTCTCCCCAGGACTTATGACTTTAATTTACCTGAACAGAAGCGTGTCCAAGCATTGCGCCTGTGTTTCGCTGCTGAGACAGAGAATCAGGAGGTTGCAGGTGACACTGGGCAGGGACAGGGAGGAGGAAGACATTACTAAGGGAACTGGAGAGGAACTGGAATTTAAGGAGGGTGTGTGGCTAAGAGGGAGAGGAGGGGAGGAAAGGAGGAGGGAGGTGGGAAGGGGTTTGGGGAGAGGGGAGGAAGGGCTGATGGGGGTGGCAGCTAGGGAGGCAGCAAGCTTTCTCACATAAGGAGTTAAATATGAGAAATGGGGGTGGGGAGGGAAGGAAAGAAAAGACATGTCTTTCTGAAGGGACAGGAAAAGGCTCTGGGGGAAATGATGAGCATTACATTGTTGGTGGTGAATCAAACTGAAAGTCCAAACATCTGTGAGAAATTCCGGCATTTGCCCTGGGAATCCCAGATGTGGAGCGGAAGTGGAGGGTCGGGGAGCCTGAGTCCTGTTCCCTGCCTTTAAAGACTGACAGCTTCTGCACGCCTCCCCACGCCTCTCTGACCAGGCTCCCTGACTCCCTGCCACCAAAGACACGGTCTGAGGAGTTAAATCCCAGACCCTCAGTGTTCCACGCCAAGGGGTGCAGAGTTCTGAATTCAGACCCCTAAGCTCAGGTCAAAATTATATTTGCCAAAGTAGGAAGGTAGGCCATGCTTTATTTAATAAAGGTTCTGATCTTATGATTTTTAAATGCTTAGACAAATGCATAGAATAAGGCCTCCTTTGACTCCTGCCCTGGGCCCTACATACTGGTGTGAACCTGCTCGGCTCCAAATCATACTGAGTACTGGAGATTTTTCAAAAACTTTCCAGAGGAAGAAGGGAGAAGGTAACATTGCATGTCACAAAACAAGACTTCCTAAAATTTCTATTTAACCACCTCGGCTCTACCCCCAATCTCCTCCGCTTCCTACAGACAACACCTGTCTCCTTTCTTACCCAGGGACCATCTCCCAGGTCAGCTAGCCTCCCTGGCCTTGCTAGGTCTTCCCTCCTTTCTCCACCACCCTCCACCTCTTCAAATCCCCTCAGCTCCCAACCTTCTGTGCCTAGATCAACAGATCCCACAAAGGAAAAGCCAAGATGGCTTGCGCTCCCCAATGTGTTAGACCTTTTGTCATCAGGCCCCTTTTCCCTCACAGTGGCATGGGTCTGAGCCACCCTTCCCGCAGTGGGGTGACTCCTTCAGGGCAGAGAGTGTCTGATTCAGTCAGCTCTGTGAGTTTTCCAGCACCTTCTAGTTTGAGAGTGTCTATGCAAGGGAGCTTCCATGGAAGACCCATGCGGGAGCTGGAATCTGGGTTGGGCCAGGACAGAGGGAATATGGAACGTGAAGTCAGAAGGGGAAAGGATCTCTAGGGACAGGCAGCAGTGAATCCCAGGATCCTGGGGCAGGCATGCGCTACTGAAGGGTCTCAAGCTATGTTAGGAAGACCCTGTAACGGCCAATGAAGTCAGGCACAGAAAGTGCAGGGAAGAAAGGAAAGCAGTTCCAAGGCCATTGTCATGGCACTGGACGTCAGAGGGACAGGGACATGAAGGCAGAACAATGGATGTAGGAGATAGTACCTGCCTTGGTAAAATGACTTGCCCGAGGCCACACAGTCAGAGCTAGAATTTGAGTCCTCCAGTGCCCAAGCTGTACAATTTCTTCTGTACTAAGACTCAAAGGAAGGGAGTCTTGCAGGCTGCAGAGGAGGAAGTGGTCTACCTCCTGGGCACAGGCTACTCTCCCAGGTCCCCCACAGGAGAGGATCCTGCAGAATGTTCTGACCTTAACATTTGCAAGGACAATACAGACCTGATTTGGGGCAAGGGGCTGTTGAGAATCCTGTGGCCAAGAGATTCATGTTAGCTCCTGTCCCTGGGTTGAGGACTGGATAGACAGTACTGCTCACTGCCAAGGTCCCTTGGGACCAGCTTCGAAAGCGAACTTTATTTCCTACCATCCACCTAGTCACCTGACTATCTGGGAATCAGATGGATCCTTCCAGGCACAAGATGCTTTTCCCACTCTTCCTTCTTCTGTCCCCTTGCAACCTGTGCCTCTATTGCAGTTTCCCACTCACCACACTCTGCAGATAACAGCTGTGTGACTTTAGCTACGTCACTGAATCCCTTTATGCCCATTTCATCATTTGCAGTGAAAGTGATGGTTAAGTGAGAGGGTACAGAGAGCACTCTTCACCTCCCAGCCCTTAGGATGACACTGATGCCTTCTCTTGCGGGTTGATTATGGGTGTGTCTCCCCTACTACTCAGCAAATTCCCCAAGGACAGAGCATGATTACAACTGGCTTGTTTGTGTCTCCCCCAAGACCAGCTCAGAGACCGGCGCACGGCCGGACTGTTCATTCCATGAGCGCTGATTAAGCACTTGCTATGAGCAGACCTTGTGAGCAAATCTGAGTATAAGGTTAATAAGAAGGTCAAGGGCCCCATTTATATGGGCACAGACCTGTATATAAAAAGAGGGTCTAGGGTGCTATGCAGGGGTCCTATGAGCAGACTGGCACGAAGGAGTACACAGTGGATTCGATTAAATCAAAGCCAGCTGAGATGATTTGAGTTGTCCTGTTTGACCATCACGGCAACAGCATTTAAGGATGAGATGATGACTGAAAATAATCCCACCACTCGTTGGTCATGGGGCTTGGCCTATGACCTTGCTTCTCAAGGAAAGGGGCTCACAGCAAACCCTTTAAAAAGTCCCCTCCACCTCTCCACAGCCCTGGCCTCTGCCCAGTCTTATGAGTTAAAGGACTTCCGAGCAGCAACCATTCATTCCCTGGGCTCTCCCTGGTTCCAGCCCTTGGGCTCCAGGGTATTTTTAGTTCTGAGAAACTGGGCCTGGGTGGGTGATTGGCAGCAGGCGGAGCCCACGTTTCCCAGACCTCCGTGTTGCTCCTGGCTCAACATTAGAGGTGGCTGGGCACAGGGAGGGAGCGAGGCATACCTGGCACCCCAGGCCACAGCTGCTTCATTGTCCCTGGGGGAGGAGCTGGGCTGCTACTGCTGCCACTGACCCAAGGCTGGGAGCATTCTTTCCTGTTGATTCATCACAGGGAATGTTTTGGGCCCAGCTGGGGCGGGGCAGGGGCACTGGGGGGACATCCTAGACATGAGCAGTCAGGGGTGGACCACAGGCCCGGGCAGCAGAGTGAGCATGACTTGGCCATCACCCAGGGATCACTGAGGTCCACCTGGCCACCGGGCCCTCATCACACTCTGTCTTTCAACAGCACTTGTTTGCACATCTGCCTCCCCCCACCAGACTAGGAAGCCCCCTTCTAGCATCTACCCTCCAGTGCCCTGTCTAGCACATAGGAGAAAATCAATAAAGGTCTGCTGGATGAATGAGCCTTTGGAAGGACACTCAGGCAAGGTGGGGGTGAGAGGGGGGAACCAGGCTGGACTGCTTGGACCTAGTCAGGAATCTGAGAGGTGGCAAACCTCTACCCATTTTACAGATGGCGTCACAGAGGCACTGAGGGTACCAGGACTATAGGAAAGAACCTGGGCACCTAGATGCTCATGCATATGGTGGGACTGCCTCTCTCATCCATTTCTACATTTGTTTCATTCCGCCACCCCACCTCACCTGACCCTCCTCTTGCACCCGTCTCCAAGAGCCTGATAGGGCCAGGACCACATCATTCAGCTTTGTTAAGGTGTACTGAGGATTCAAGTTCTTCCATTTACTGTTTATAGCCTGGGAGAGCAAGTCGGGTCTCCTGGGGCTCAGTGTTCCCAGCTGCACAACAGAAACAATAGTGCTTCACCCCAGGTATATTCAATAAACTGGGGACCGGGCAATGAAGAGGCCACCTGTTACTGAAAAAGAGCACGGAAGCGCCCCGTGCACGGAAGCGACTTCATTTGAACCGAGCCTGCACAAGGCCGCCTACGTCGTCCTAACCGGCGCACTGGAGCCAGACCTGCCACGAGAGGGGCGCTGTGCTGGGGTCTTAGGTGGCAGTCTCGCGGGTGGGCACCATCACCCAGTTTGACAGCTGGGAAACTGCGCATGGAGGGGGACTCAGGGGCCCCTGAGGCTCCTCCAGCCAACGCCAACGCCGCCCTCTCCCGGGTCCCAGAGCGC